AAATGAGCTCCTTATTTAGAGAAGCATGCAAGTAATTTAGAAAGAATATTCTATGTGTGGTATTTTATTATGTTTCTATAGAGCTTGTAACAGTCCTTGCCAGTTGCTCAGAAAGAATATAAATCTTTTGGGTGAGCATATTATGCAGTGTTCATGGTATGTAATTGAAATTAAGGTCTAAAATGCTAAAAGAAGGAAAGTGTTTTCAATCTATTCAACTATGAGAATGTGTCTTCCTTGAAAATAAGATATAAATACAGCCAGAAAGTTAGTTTCATGAATTTCTGTTCTGTGAAAATCAAATAAATACCACAATAGTTGGGATAACTCTGTCACAACTGATTCTGGTTTATTCAAGTTGTTTTCCTTCCACAAGAAAAGCAGCTGAAAAAAAAAAAAGGAATTGCATAGATCCTTACGGCCAACTTAACTAAATTGTGTCCTGCATTAATATAATGAGCTCAAGTCATCATAATGCAATGAGAAAGAAATGGACAATAGGGTTCCAGATAAAAAGACACAATCAGCTTAGAGATAGGGAGGAAAAAGCAAAGTAAGGAAGCTTAATAAAAAACAATTCTTGCCTATTTCTCTACAGAGCTGACTCCTGTAGCTTGTGTAATGCCTGGAAAATAATTTATGAATATATTGATATTGAATAAAGAGGAAAATCAAGAGGATGAAAAGAGTCAGAAAAAAAGCAGGAAAACAATGACATTTGCATAATATTTCAAATTTTTCAATGAAATTTTCTTCATGCCAATAACTAGCCATGAAAAGTTGTCTACCTCGATCAATATATTTGTATAAGGACATCAACTCTGCTTTAACCCTACAAAAAAGGTGGCATGAAATAACTTGACATTACATAATCAGCATTTTTTCTATTCTACTTTTCTGTCCAATCAGTGCCAAAGCTATTGCTCTGACATTGGTTAGTAGGAGTTCCTATGCAGTTTTCAGAAAGGAGGCTTTGCTGATTCATGAATGGATAGAAAACAAAAGCCAATTCATTCTTTAAATTGTCGAATTTTGTCTTTTAATAAAGTATATTTCCACCCTGAAGTCCTGTGATATACTCCCCAATACCTCATGATTTTCTATTTAATTAGCTCATCATATAATCTCATTTGTTCTTTATCTTCCCCACCTTTCCAGAAGCATTAAAAAGGCATCCACTCTGTTTGAGCTCAGTATATAACATGTTTAATATTATACCTTGTTGTGATGGCAGGGGAGTGGGAGATAATCACTGATTAACGCACCATTTACTCAGAATCAAAATACTCTGTATGTGCAGGAAACACAAGTCCTTCAGTGTTCTACTATCACCTATTATTTTATCCAGGGAAAGCTAGTTAAGATTTTTCAATTTTCAGCTTTGTTAATTAGTAAAGTCAGGTGCTTGAGTTCCTGGTGTTTTATGTCTGTCTTCAAGTAAGTAACAGTAATCATGAACAGAAACAATTCAAAACACATGATGGTACCAATAAACAGTGATGTGGACTAAAATGCCTTGTCTACAAATAAAAGCTTGATATATATATTTATATTCTGGCTTTAAGAGAATTTGTCTTTTATTTCAGTAAAAGAGAAAAAAACTACAACTTGTTTTAAAATCCTATTATAACTGTGTGTAGTAAGACTTTTAAAATCCAAGTTACAATTAAGAAACATATCTTAACAAACAATCCTAGACTATTTTCTCATAATCTTCTAGGAATTCCAGATTTCCTTGAAAAGCCTTCTTGAACAAGGACGTCTGAACTGTTGAGTGGACACCTGGAGACTAATGTATGGCACATGAACCTAGTTCATAGCAAGCAGAGCTTGGAGGAGTGGAGACTGTACTTCTCCATCCTTTCCAAATCCTTCCAGTGCAGCATCGTGCTGCTTGCCTAGACCACTGACTGACTTCAAAGGGAAAAAAGTTCCTCTAATGTCTCCTAACTTCTCTTCCTGAATTGAAAATACCTGAAGATTTAAGCTACGCTATTTAGATTTTTATTTATGGGGGTCAAAAAGGTTGTATTATAGAGTAGAAATGTAAACTTTGCTCAATGGCTGACATGCAATGGTCATATCTAAAGATTTGAATTATGTGGCATGTCCATTTACTAACACAAAAGTTCAGAAAAGAGAGTCTTATATGGATATTACTTCTTAATATCTCTAAAATAATTATTCCATGAAGAAAATCAAGCTATGTTTATAATTATGTCAAATCTTTAGAGATGTTCCCTTTAACTTCAACCTAGCTATTTCTGCTCTATTATTACTAATGTGTTTCTTGCGTGAAGTCTTTTCCCATTAGAAAATTGAACCAACTTTAAATGTTCATACCACAGCTATTTTCTATAAACCTGAGAAATGGAAATCACTGGTTACTAACTTTGAATATGTGACCAGTAGATATGGAGCAGAATCTTTCCTTTGAGAACAACACTGGCAATAACCAATATTCCTAACTTTTGTATTATAGAGAATCCAAAAATTTCAATTTGATATTCATTTGAAAGAAAGACTATACTAAGTAGAAGGTGAGGGCAAAAAAGAACAGCATACTAATTCTTCTCTTATTTCAGAAAAATATACCCAGAAATCTCAGTTAATATGATGACATAAACACAGAAAATATTTCTTTCCCTTTTCAGTTATGAGATAAGTATCCATGATGGGTGTTCTTCTTCTCTAATTCATAAGATATTCAAGATACACTAACATGACTTTCCCCTGGAGATGTCATTAAGCCATCAACCAAAGTATAGCTAAGCAGCTGGAACAGACACAAAGTAAATTATCTGAGCCTCTCACCCTCTACCATCAGGATAACAATGGAAAATTGTTAACCAATATCCCATTACAGAAGCCAAGAAATGAGTCAGTGGGAGAGTCAAATTGAAAGCGATGAACTGCTGTTTCCATTTTCAACCTCCTTCAACACTAACTACCTTGTTTATTTCTAGATAAAAGTATATTTTTAGCTGTTAGCGCTGAATATTGAGGTAGCCTAATCACAAGAAATGGATGTTCTCACAGTCTATCTGCAAAAGTCATCACCATACATGTCACATCTATTCCTTGTAAAGGAGACACTGACAATGTATTTACATCTATTACCTTATCCCAGAAATTCTATTTTACGTGAAGGACTTACATGTGAGACCAGTTTATGCAACATCAATACATACAGGACACAAAGATGACATATAATGAATAACAAAGTGCACTTGTGATATCACATATTCTCTATTATATTACTGAGTTTTCCAGCGATATGCAAGACTCAGAGCTTTTAGCCAGAGATTTCTCCTTGTCTGTTATTGAAAGTGAGTGACAAAAAGCTAACAGCACCCCCAAATTAAGATGTTTAAAATACCTGCTGAGAGAATAATCAATCACTGAAGCTGATCAGCTCTAAAAACTGCACAAAGTGATTATTTCCGAAACAAAATTCAATTCCTTAGAGAATCCATCTGTATGTCAATTTGCTATACTTAAATCTTAGTAATTCAATTAACCTAAGAGGAGATCATAAGAAACTAATAGACTTTCTTAAAAATAATATATCGGGGCCTGGAAAGATGGCTCTGCAGTTAAGAGCACTGTTGGCCTTGCAGGGGATCAGGGTTCACTTTCTAAGACGCACGTAGTTGTTCACAACAACCCATGATTCCAGTTCCAGGGTTTCTAATGCCTTCTTTTGACCTCTGTGGGCACCAGCCATGCATGGAGTACACATGCATATATGCAGGCAAAGCACCCAGATCTAGGTGAAATAAATAAATCTAGTTCATTTTGATTATTTCAGCAACATCATTCATCCACATATTCTGTAGAATTTTCAGGAAGGAGTACAAGAGTATTATCGAAAAGATAATTTTGTGTGTTAATTAAGACCTTAAGTCAAAATTTCCTGATAATTAATCCCAGCACTCGGGAGGCAGAGCCAGGCGGATCTCTGTTAGTTCGAGGCCAGCCTGGGCTACCAAGTGAGTTCCAGGAAAGGCGCAAAGCTACACAGAGAAACCCTGTCTCAAAAAAAAAAAAATAAAAAAAAATAAAAAATAAAATAAAAAATAAAAATTAAAAACTAGGAGATCTCACTTCTGCACAAAAACTGTTCATCCTGAGAGAGGAAGCAAGGGAAGTGACTGGGAACAGAGAACTCTGAGTGATGGGAATAGAGAACTCTCAATGATGGAGAGCAAAGGGCTTTCACCCTGCCAGCAAGCCATATGTAAGGAACCCTGCAGTTCTGTCCCTCACTTGCGGGGAAGTAAGGTTCAGTGCGATCTTAAGCTTGATGCATTTATGGTGGACTCTGCTTGAGAATTTCCAACTCTCTCTAAAGCAGTTTTCTGAATGAGTAAAGCAGTTTTAAAGGCATCATTCTTGCTTCAAACAAGGGAGAAAGCGCGCTCCTCACAGCAGGGTCTCTCTACTGTTATGCTGAGAATAAAACTACAGTAGAGGGATTAAGCATGCTAGATCTGGGGCACAAATCATACTTTGACTCACTGTGTTTCCGTTTCCTCATCTACGAGCAAGGATGCTACATGAAAGGATGCCTAGATTTAAATGCTTCTCCAAATGCATCCTTGAGAAAAGTAACTAAGTCTACAATAGGATACCAGAGACTGAAAATGTGATCAAGTGTATGTGTAATCACATCAGCTATAATACTCAGAGCAAAGGTTTTTAATTCACTTTTTTCTAATGGAAAATATCCATTAGTGAGTCGAGAAATCAGCATAATGGATTTCAACCATCATTTACCAGAAAAACTTGAACAAAGTATAAAATATGAAAGTGCATTATGAGAAGGAAGAACAAATACTCTCATGACTCAGAAATTCATACACATATTCATGTGTATATATGCTGGATGATAGAACAAATTATACTTTTATTCACTACCGTTATCAACAGTGCTTTAAAAAACCACTTATTTACAGTGTATCTATTTGAGCTAGATGAGAAAAGCAGCTTTTACTTACCAATTGTGGGGTCATGATAATCTGGGAACTGGTGGCTTATAAACTGCATTGTCACTGCTGAAGAAGAAAAACACAGTCAGCCCTTACCTATAAATTATTCATCAACATAGCTCTGCATTTTACTCTTTCCTTATAAATAGCTCTCTTGTATGAGTGACTACATTAATTATATGGCACTAGCTAACACATGATAATGATTGTAATAACACATAGTTATGAAAAACAAAAAGGCCTATACCATATATTTGTAGCAAATATGTTCAAAGCTTAACTGTATTTCAATCTCTGTTATAAGAAGAACATAACCTAGTGACAGAGCCTCTCAGCTCTGGTTAGTTGGTGGTTGTCAAGAAGTTTCTGGAATCTTTTTGGCCCTGGGTTTTATGATCCCGGCTGAATCTACGTCTCTGTCACCAGCTGAGCGGTCAGAATCTGGTGTCAAATTGGACAACTAATGATAACTTGGGTAGTCTGTATCTCAACTTGAAAGATTCAGGGCATCTAAACTGAAATTAAATCACCACACTCTGTCTCAGCAGACGTGAAGGAACACACATCTATTTGCTGAAGCGACTAACTGTCTCAACATATATCTTAGGACAAATTCATTTAGCTTATTTAGGCTGCAATGTTGAAGATATCTTTAGATCCTTCCCCTCTTTCATCCTCCATACAAATAATCTAAGTATCCAGTTTCCCTGAAACACCTTTCCAGTATGTCTAGATTCCCTTTGTTACAGCTCCAGTTCTGAGTCTCATCCCTCTTTAAACTGCGTTCTTTCCAGGAATTCTCTCTTCACTCTCACAGAGGAGTGGGATCCTTTCATCAATCGGGTCTCCCACATGCTCAGGCACCACAGTGGTAAGAGAGAGAAGAGAGAATTCATGGATACTTACTTGCCTGAGAAGATCTTGGAGGAAAGGTTACGAACATTACATAATCCTCCTCGTGCATTCTGTGTCATAACTTAGTTATTTGCCAACCTTGTCTGTAATGCAGCCGCAGTAAATGTCAAGAGGAAAAGGAAAAATGTCTTGTAAAAAGATCACAGGCTCAAACATACTGGGTAGGGGACAACAGCCAAAGAAAATGTGAAATTTTCAAGTTTAAGAAAATGAAATGTCACCCTCTTCCTCCATCAAAGAGCAACAACCCTTTAACTAACCCCATTTTGGTCTTCATATCATCTGATATCCTGTGAGTTTCCACAAAGGATCCTTCAGAGCTTTGTAAACACAGATGTCTTTTACAAGTTGCTGATCACCTCAAGAAACCGTAACAAGAAATTGCATTTGTTTACATTTCTGTAGATGATAACAAACTATATACTGATGGTTTTAGAAACAATTATTTACATGGTGTGTATGTGCGTTGTTGAGTGAAATGTTCTTGTTTCAGTAAATCGAACAGCTCTCAAGAAAACTAAGAAAAACCAGCAACAGAGGACAAGTCCTGCTTCATGGTGTGATCATTCATCCCTGTGACAACTTGTTTTGATTGATTTATGGACAGAATGTAAATGTGTGGAGAGGAAATTTGATGAGAAAAGTTGAGTGATGGACTGTAAACTTAATACAAAAAGTTAGAAATGAAAGAAAGAACTTTTTTCCTAAGGCATTATCTTTTGATTTCTAAGGTTATTACAAGTACTATTTAATACCTGCATAGGGAGCAAGAATACTCCACCTCTGTAGATACGAGAATTTATGAAAAGCTAAGATATATACAGCATGAGAAAATGCTCATAGATTTCATATAAAAACATGTTTGCTTTATTGGTGGTTACTTAACACATTTTGTGTAAGTGCAATGATTCCTAAAACTTTATAAAATATTCAGTAAACACACACAATGAATAATGACCCCCAAATGACTTAAACTTCCATTCAATGATAGTAATAAGAGATTTAAAACAATAAAAATAAACTTATTTTATTTGATCTCTCCTTCCTATGCATGTCTTAATTTAAATTTTCATTTTATTTATTCAGGAATTTCCATAATTTACTATCCCATTTTCTACTTAACTTTAAATCAACTGTTCTTCTTTTGCATAATGCAGTATTAAACCATCAAATTTACGTTTCTGAGAAATCTGACAGTATCATATATCATCCTCCTTAGAACGTTAGCAGTTTATGGCCAGAGGCAGACTGTCAGTTATAAAAAAGGAAAATCATAAAAAGAAAAGAATCATTTTCTACAGAGTAAAACACAAAACCACTGAAAGGCCGCACAAAAGCAGACCGTTCATCACCAATTCGCCTAACCACACCCTCCCTTCGAAAGGAATCTGATTACTTATGGAAAGCACTAGACTGAAGCTCTCTGGATAATGATATAATCTAATAGCAGAGGCAGAGGACAGTCAGTCCCCACCATCCCTTTGGGAACTGAAGGCCTGAGATGGGAAATAAGAACCTAAGAGACTGGTCACCAGGGATTTCATAGTTCTCTCATTTAGAGAGTATATTAGGACTTGGAAAAATTATTTAAACTTACCATTTCTATTTTATTGTGAGCAAAAACAAACGGCTGGAGGGAAGACAAATTAAAGAAGGCTGTAGATTATACAACCTGGCGTGCTTCCTTCGCATTCCATTGGCTTGTCATTGCCACCACCAGTACCACCGTCATTACCCTCATCATCTCCTCCTCCCCTACATGAGCTACAATTCCGTCACCTGTTACTTCAGTCTCCATCACGTTATTCTTTTCTAGTGCTACTGGATTTCTAGGAGTTCTTCCTCCCCCCAGTCATGCCCCCTCCCTCTGGTCTCCTGGGAGTTCTTCTTCCCTCCAATCATGCTCCCACTTAAGGAGAGAACTTAGTTAGCTCTATTCTCTATGCCAGGACTGCTCTTCCTTCAGACATCTGTGGGACTGAGTCTCGTATGTTTTCATATTATTATTCACATATGGACTCCTTGGTAGATGTTCCATCATCTCTGAATTTAAATCAAAACTCATTCCTTCTCACTGGAACTCCTTGTGTCCCTTTGTTGACATTAATTAAATCACTGAGTTTTAACCGTAAACATTTATTACATAATAGATGATACTTAAGTACTTGGGACATATTAATGGGTGGTATAGGCTAAAAGAATGTGGATAGATGGACAGAGAAACACTGATAAATGCATATAACCTTGCGTACGTATTAATGTTTGCATGGTAGTAATGCAATGGAAAAATAAAATTATCATTGGATAATTATCAGAATATCTAAATATGGTAAAAAAGATTCTATGGCAAGAATTTAATAGATTTACAGTTTCAAACACCACTGGAAAATGTAATATTTCCACTATTAGAGATTATATTCATGTAGTTCCTAAGAAAGATAATTGTGAGCATTTAATTGCTGTTTTTCACTCTTCAGAACAATACTCTATGACCTGGCACCAACTTCTGTGTTAGTTAGAATTTCTACCGCTATGATAAAACACTATGAACAAAAGCAACTTGGGAGGGGGGAGTTGTTTCATCTTATGGTTCTACAACAGATTACCTCACTGAGGAAAGTCAGGCCAGGAACTCAAACAGGACAGGAACCTGTAGGCGGAAACTGATGCAGAGGCTATAAACGGGTACTGCTTACTGGCTTACTCCACATGGCTTGTTCAGCCTGCTTCTAGCTCCCAGTGGTGGCAGGGCCCACAGTGAGCTAAGCCTCCCACATGAATCAATCAAGAAAATGCACCAAAAGCTTGCCCATAGTCCAATCTGATGGGGTCACTTTCTCAATTGCAGTCCTTCTTTCCAAATGACTCTGGATCGTGTCAAGTAGGTATAAAACTAGGCAGCATAACAAGTATATTAAAAAATGAAGGTACATTTTTTTAAAAATGTCATTGCTTAAAATTAACTTGGGGTTACAGTCTTTAAAATAATTTATTTATGATGAAACATTTGCATATCAGTTTAAAAGCATGAAAGTTGGACATTTAACCTTATATATTTCAAGAAGAAACAAGTTATCAGGTCTAAGATCTCTGTATACTCCAGGTTGAGGATCTATTGAGGAATCAAATAGGATCTATTGAGGAATCAAATGGATCATAGGTCTCCAAAGCCACATTTTTTTTTATTTTTCTAATGTACTCCAAATTCTCTTCTCTTAACTGAAAATGTGTGTTAATCATCAGTGTGTCAAAGATGTCTTCTAAATACATGAGTATACATTGAATGGCTACTTTTTGAATAACAAAAAATCTAAAATCCTGTCTTATCTCAAAGTCAACCTCAAATAAATGTGCCACCTATTTTTATGTCAGTAGTTCATTTAAATGTACTGTGTTATAACAACATCAAAAGCTTATGCTCTTTCCCAAAGGTGGCACACCTGAAAGATGGATCATACCGAGGTGCCCAGGAGCCATCTGCTGAGTACCTTCAGTGGGGGTGAGAAAGTCACTCAACTGAAATGTAGTAAGATCCCTTCTAAAGTCAATGTAATGTTAGAGGTAAAATGTAGTCAGAGAATTAGCTAAAGACTTCTTAATCCTCACTGTACTTTTAGCACTGAAACATTAACTGTTTGGTAAGCTATAAAGAATGCTGAATTTGCTGGGCGGTGGTGGCACACGCCTTTAATACCAGCACTTGGGAGGCAGAGCCAGGCGGATCTCTGTGAGTTCGAGGCCAGCCTGATCTACAAAGTGAGTTCCAGGAAAGGTGCAAAGCTACACAGAGAAACCCTGTCTCGGGGGGAAAAAAAAAAAAGAATGCTAAATTTAAAATTGAGTGATATTTATCCTAAATGTGCACTAGTGTCTCCTTTTTTCTTTAGTTGATATGCTTTTAACATGTGCCTTCCTCTCTTTTCTATGGGGCACCATTTGCTCTAAACTTATGAAATTAACACTCAGAAAGAGGTATTCTGCACGGGTGTTATGGTGGCTTCTAAATGCCAAACACACCTCATCAAATTTAAATCCAAAAACATGAAAAGCAGTAACAAAGGCAAATGTAAAAGTTACATTTTCTGACCCATTTATTATAGCCTAAGAACAAAATCATCAAAGGTCAAAGAAGGACAGAGTATCTAATAACA